CCCCCCCCCCCCCCCCCCGGAATTTCTAGAATGGTGTTCTCTACAGAGGTACTTCTTCGGATTTATTGATGTTGGATCGAGCTGGGTATCTTCAGGTCCGTGTTTGTGTGTAAATACATACTCGTTTTAATTGATGTTCCAGTCATTGCCAAGTCATAGTTATGCTCTTTTGTTGTAGCTTGTAGACTTCAGATTTGCAAAGAAACTTTCTGGAGAAAGAACGTTCACAATCTGTGGAAATGCAGACTATTTAGCCCCCGAGATCGTCCAAGGCAAAGGCCACGGTGTAGCGGCTGACTGGTAAGCGTTTTCTTTGGTTGGAATTCTTGAAATTGTTTGATGCTTCTGCTGAGATTCTAGAACTTTCTGGATGAATTCAAAAGGTGGGCACTCGGAGTTTTGATTTACTATATGCTACAAGGCGAAATGCCATTCGGGTCATGGAGAGAAAACGAACTCGATACCTTTCCCAAGATCGCGAAAGGCCAACTAAAGTTTCCCCAAACTCTAAGCCCGGAAGTAGTTGATCTCATCACAAAGGTCTCATCTTTTTAGTCCCCCCTTTTTCGCTAACGAGTTTATCAACGAATTTCCGTTTCCGCTCGCTTACCCGTTTCTGTAAAATCCATGTAGTTGCTCGAAGTTGATGAAAGCTCGAGGCTTGGAAGCCAAGGAGGTTCAGATTCAATCAAGAATCACCCTTGGTTCAATGGTCTCGAGTGGGAAGCGATCAGACAACGCGAATTTTCAGTTCCTCGAGAGATTGTCTCCCGCATTCAACACCATCTGGAGAAGAACCCTGTTCCTCTCGAGATTTCCCAACCTCCAGACACAGGAGAAGACGAAAATTCACAAGATTGGTTCGAGGAGTGGTAAAAGTACTTAACGATTTGATGTTTCTTCAAAAGTATTTCTCAGAAAGATGATTGTTTTAGCAGATTCAGCAGAAGAAGATGATATAGAAAATTTAGGTCCTTTCTACGATTGTTGTGTAAATAGGTGTATGTGATGTAGTGATGGCTGAAGATTTCTATCTGCAGTTTTGTAATGTAATGTAACTTCAGCTCTCTTCATTTGTCATTTTACTCCATTCGTACTTGGAGAAGCATCTAAGAGAATGAATCCTGAAATCTTCAGTGGAAAAATTTGTGCTTCTTACAGGTTTCGAGTTCATGTCATGAATGCATACATGCATTTCGTTACACAGCATTAGAAAACAAAATTCATCATGCCAGTAGTTTGGCAAGTTCATCTACTCTCAATGTTCCTTGTGGGATTACATCTCTTCTGGAATCTCCATCAAAGTCATCCATTCTCTTCTTCGGAATCTGTTTTTTCTTCTCTCCTTCCACTCTTCCAGTAACTCCCTGTTTCACAGGGATTGCGTCTTTGCCAGCCTTCACCTCTGAGTTTGAGTCCCGGTTTTCGTTCTTCTTACCGGATGATGGTTTCCTCTGGTTGTGTTGGAAAACCGGCCCAGGTGGAGCTGTCATGGCAAAGGCCACAGCTTTGGCCAAAACGGTATCTGGGTCAAGATCAGAATCTTCCAACACGAGTGCACTCCCTCCCTCCACAGCCTGTTTCACCAGACTCAGAACTCTCTCCATGCTTTGGTGATTCACCACTTCACTGATCTCTTCCGAGGTTTCTGTTTCTGAGTTGTGTTCAGGTTTTTGATCTTCGTGATTCAGAGGAACACCTTCCTTCTCTGCAATTGGCTCGACCACGTCTTCAGTATCTGAGTTCTGAAAAGATTCAGCCTTTGCGCTCTCCAGATCCGCACCATCCACAGCATTGGCATTCACGAATGGATCGTTTTCATCTGAGGAACTCTGATCACCATAATCTGGATCTGTTTCTGTTGAACCAGTAGGAGAGTGAGATTCCTCATCATCGGTTTCAAGAATCTGATTAGGTGTAACCGATTCTTGATCTTCCACTTGATGTGCTGCAAGAGAAATGGCGGTATCGATTTCAGCGTCTCTGAGTTGATTTTCCGTGTCATCTGGAGTTGAAAGAGACGATTTCCAGTCCCGTCCTCTCCAGATGAGAATTTGCTCGTTCTCGAAGGATATCAAAACACAAGGGACAAGGTCCTGCAACGAAAAAAGAGAAGATATTCACTGAGCTCAGACAAGGAGAGAGAATAAAAAAGAAGGAACATATATAGACTGGTTAAAACATGAAGACCTTAAGCTTGGCACCAATCTTCCTGAAGTCACTCCCTTTTATCCCTTGACAATTGATGCGGACCAATTCACACACTTCAAATGCCTCTTTCACATTTCTCACAAGGTTGTAATACACACCATTCTTGGCTGTAAGAGACAGATAAACAGAATATTAGAAATTTTGCATTCAAGAGAAGTACTACTCATGTTCTCCTCTTTATCAGAGCATAGCCAAAAGAATCTTAAGGCATAGGCTTACACAGCTTGCAAATAGGCATAAGCTCTCGTCCTTTCCTACGCATTTCAGTAGCTTCTTCAAGTGTTAAACCCTCAGGAACACGTTGAATCAGCCGTGGATATACAGGGGATACAGGCCTCCACAGCATAAGAGGGAACCGTGGACGTGTCCTGAAGTTATAGTTTCTGCCTCGGAAAAGGAAAAGCACCCCTCCCTTTCTGTAAATGATCTTTCCACCGGTTTTCTCCTATAATAAATAGTCGCACAGTTCAAGACTTCAGGACCATGAATAGAGAGAGGCACAACCTAAGGATTTACGCAATCATTATAACCAGAAAGAGTTGTATTATAAATGAGACAGGCCCTTATCACTAGATTTCCTGTTTCACAGTCAAGACTGAAAACTATAAACCACATTCCCTTCCTCAGCCAATATATAAATTCATGGGATAGAGATTGCAAACTTAATACAACCAAATGAATTACAAAGCAAATAAGAGTGAGGGCCCGAAGAAAAACCTCTAATTGCTGGCAAACGGTATCCATGTCGACTGTACAGACTCCTTTGCATTTTATCTTGCAAACTCTTCGTCGCTTCCACAGATCATGTATGTTGTTCAGCATGTTATGTGTCAAGCCATCTCTGCCTGAGAAGAAAACATATGATCACTAATAAGCACACAAACATAACCTTCCATCACTCTCAACCAGTTCATAATCTAAAATTTGCAAGCAAAACTAGGATCTAAAATGGGAATCTCTGCATCAGTTGTGCCTAAACATCAATTCATAAGCTTTCTTAGATCCTATTACCCAGAAGAAAAGATTAAGAACCCTCAAATCTCCTCGGGTTACACTAGCAAATAGCAATATACTCCAAAGATCCAAATAAAATACACCAAAAGTATCAAACTTTACCCATGTTCAATTGCCTCCTTGTCTTCAAGCACGAAAGCACCATCTCCTTAACCTCTTCCTTGGTCAATGGCTCCCCCAAAATCTCTTCCCTAGTGTAGACATACCTCGGACCCGACCCGGGCATAAATGGGCCGGGTTTCTGAACCGGTTTGACCCCTTTCTTCCCCGCCGGCGGAAGCTGGAACGAGTCGAACTCCCTCGGCTTCTTCTGAGACGGCGGAAGCGGCGCACGGCCAGTCCACGGCCTACCCATCGTGGTGGGCCCGAATGGCGCGTATGGTGGCTCACGCAGCTTCACTGGTTTCACCTTCGGCGTCTCCGTGTAGCTGTACTTGAACTCGAAAGGAGCACCGTCGATGACGTAAGTCAATCCGTCGTCGCTCAGCTTCACCTTAGGCTTCGTCTCCAGCTGCGGCGGCGAATCGGGTACCCGTGGTTTGTTCTTGGGCTTCGGGTCAGGTCCAGGATCGGGTTTGGAGTACTTGGATCTCCGACCCGGAATCGACGGAGAAGAGGGCAAGGAAGGTGTTCCTCTGGATTTGAATTTCGTCGTCCGGGGCTCGGCGCCGGCATCTAGGGTGTGGGCGATTCTGGCGGCGGCGTCGAAGCGGCGGTGGCGGCGTAAATCCGCCTCGATCTCCTCCTGGTCACGGCGGCGCTGCTCGAACCGCTCGGCGTTTGCGTTGCCCCAACGAGAGAATCGGAGCTCACTGGGGCCTCTTTGGAGATTGGGCGGGTTCAGATTCGGACTCGGGTTCGGATTCGGACTCGGACTCGGGCGCGGCAATAGTGATGGCGCGAATATCGGGAACGGGATATTCAGTTTCAGCGTCATGGCCGGAGAAACAAAGCTCCGAGGAAGTGAAGAACTTAAAAAAGAGACTGATCCACAAGCCGTAGATTTTTTCCCCCTTTTTTTCTTTTTATTTTTCTAGTTTTAGTTTACTCTGGTGGCTGTGATGTAAATTTCCAACAAAACAAGGGTAAAAGTTCAAACCCAGAATCAAAACACTGCCTTGAGAAAAAAATACTGATCTAAAGGATTCCAAAGATTATCTTATGCAGGAATAATTTCTTAATTTTTAAAAGTAATATTTTTTATATTTTAAATTTTCAGATTTTTATTTCTACAAGATTTTCAACCTCTTTCAATTTTTTTTCCAAACAGATAAATGTTTTATATTTTAGTTTTGTAAGCACAGTCGTGGAAAGTTTAGATATTTTTCTTGTGCATTGAGTAAATATTTCCAAAATCGGTTTACTGCCAGAAGTGAGAGAGGGTGTTTTTTTGTGGATGAGGACGACAATTATGGAAGAAACGGTCAAATGGCTTACTCATTCTTCAACCCTATTTCCCACTGAATTTTCAAAAAAGGGAAGAAAAAAAACTTTCAACGTTAGAAAGATATGATTCCCTAAGAAAGGGGAACTGGGAAGATTTGTTTACAACGTTCAAAAATCTTTATCCAAACCCAGAAAACTTTGCTTATAAAAACCCTTACTCGATCGGCACTTGACGAACAGCAAAGAAAGAGATATATTTTATATATATATAATACATATATAAATTAGTGTATTGTTAGTCGAATCAAGGGATGGCCGGAGGAGCACTGGCAGACGCCGGAACCCTAAAGAGGGCTCATCTCTATGAGTATCGAATCACTGGTTACTTCATCTTCGCTTGCATTGTCGGATCCATGGGAGGCTCTCTCTTCGGCTACGACCTCGGCGTCTCTGGTCAGTTTCATTCTCTGTCTTTCCTGTTCTTCCTGAATCATTCCCTCCATCTGAATTCGCTCGAAAGCTTCGGTTTGTAAAATTTCAGTCCGTTTTCTGATCTGGGTCGCTTTTATTTTTGTCCCAAATCGGATTTTCGAGATTCGATTTTAAGTTTCTTTTCGCTCACGAAACCTCTGTCAGATACATAAACATTGACTTAGCCTGATCTGCGCAACGTAGTTTTTGATCTGTTGCCCTCAAGCCAGTGCAAGATCACACAAAGTTTAGATCGATTTCGAGGCAAATTCTTGTTTCGATTCCAGGATAAAGATCTGTCAAACCGGATCGACCTTCGTTTCATTTCTCTAGGATCTATGCATTGATCGGTATGAAACGCTTATAAGCAGGTGGGGTGACATCGATGGACGATTTCTTGATAGAGTTCTTCCCTGACATCTACAGAAGAAAGCAGATGCATCTGCGAGAGACAGATTACTGCAAATACGACAATCAGATCCTAACTCTCTTCACGTCTTCGCTCTACTTCGCGGGTCTTGTCTCGACGTTCGCGGCCTCTTATGTAACCAGAAGTTACGGCCGGAGAGGAAGCATCATCGTCGGTTCCATCAGCTTCTTCCTCGGAGGAGTCGTTAATGCAGCGGCCAAGAACATCTTCATGTTGATCCTCGGACGTATCTTCCTCGGCATCGGAATTGGGTTCGGTAACCAAGTAAGTTCAAGATTCTGTGGTTTGATATCGACAACTGTGATAATTAGCATCGGTTTGGAACTAAAAACGATCAATCAATGTGGTTTTCTGAAATTGATACTAGGTGTGGGCATAAAATCGGGTATCTGTCTTTTCGCGGGTTATAAGACGGGTTATTCTTTTACTATCCGTGAAACTGATCTTGAATCATTTAATCGATACAAAATAACAATCTTTTCGGGGTTTTTCTTGAAGGCGGTACCGCTATACCTCTCGGAGATGGCTCCTGCAAAGGTGAGAGGAACAGTGAATCAGCTCTTCCAGCTCACGACCTGTCTCGGTATCCTCATCGCCAACTTGATAAACTACGGAACCGAGAAAATCCATCCGTGGGGATGGCGACTCTCCCTCGGCCTGGCCACTTTCCCGGCCACTCTCATGTTCCTAGGAGGCATCATCCTTCCGGAAACACCGAACAGCCTCGTGGAGCAAGGAAAGCTCGACAAAGCCAGAGCCGTCCTGATAAAGGTACGAGGAACAGAAAACATAGACGCGGAACTGCAGGATCTGGTCGAGGCCAGCGAGTCGGCGAGGGCGGTGAAACACCCTTTCAAGAACCTCTTGTCTCGAAAGAACAGACCTCAGTTTGTGATCGGAGCGTTAGGGATACCGGCGTTCCAGCAGCTGACAGGGATGAACTCGATTCTGTTCTACGCTCCTGTCATGTTCCAGAGCTTAGGGTTCGGTGGCTCGGCCGCGTTGATATCGTCCACCGTGACAAATGGCGCGCTCGTTGTGGCGGCGATGATGTCGATGTATATGGCTGACAGGTTCGGCAGAAGGTTTCTTCTGCTCGAAGCCAGTGTTGAAATGTTCTCCTACATGGTATAAGCCCTACTCTAATCTAACCCTTGCAACTCAGGTTACTTTTATCGTAAGTTAGGGTTAGTATAGTACCTTGCTTCACACGTTAGATGAAAATACGCATACCCATTGACAAAAACAACACTTTTCATCATTTTTTTTCAGATCATAGTCGGTGTAACACTAGCGCTGAAATTCGGAGAAGGCAAGGAACTGCCGAAAGCACTCGGGTTGTTCATAGTGATCATCATCTGTCTGTTCGTACTTGCGTACGGACGGTCGTGGGGGCCGATGGGATGGTTAGTTCCGAGCGAACTCTTCCCATTAGAGACGAGATCGGCCGGACAGAGCGTTGTCGTGTGCGTAAACCTCCTCTTCACCGCACTGATCGCGCAGTGCTTCCTCGTGTCTCTGTGCCATCTCAAGTACGGAATATTCTTGCTGTTCGCCGGACTTGTCTTCGTGATGGGGAGTTTCATCTTCTTTCTGCTGCCCGAGACCAAACAGGTTCCCATTGAAGAGGTTTATTTGCTGTGGAGACAACACTGGTTCTGGAGCAAGATTGTCGGAGACAGCGGCGATATGAATCAGAGCTAGGGCAAGTTCGTTTTCTAGGGTTTCTGTTGTTTTGTTTCATCTTCTTTGTGTGTTTTCCCCCCTATGAATTCTTGTTGTTTTTCTTGAAGGAATAATTGAAATTGTTTTTTAACAAAAAAATAATAATTGAAATTGTTGGGCGTTTCTGGGTTTTGTATCTACACTACTAGTTTTTCTTTGAATAAAACATATAAAAAACTGAATTATTCTAATTTTTTTTATATACAAATTATTCTAATCCTTCCAAAATATTTTTTGGTAACTCGTAAGTTCTCGGATTTCTAGTCCGACTACATCTCCTATGGTCTGAAAACAATCTATATATCGCAAATGCGGACCTCCGTCTCCAATCCGTGGTCGAACAAGGAACCTAAAATAAGGGCAAATCACCTTTCAACCAACTTCACAACTCGGCTACGACCTCTTGGTTAATTCTTCCAAATATATATATATATATATATATATATTGTGAAGCCCATGGTCGGTGAGATTATAAATCTTCTAGCTAGTTTTGTGTATAGTCTCTATCTTCAGATATTTTTTGCTATAAGGGATTCAAAAACAATTTGATTGACTAACATTTCTTTTTCACTTTTTATTATTATATATACACAAATACTATATTTATGATATATTTTTTTCAATGTTCAATTTTGTTATAGTATACATCACTATCCTCTACATTTTAAAATATATTATATTAAAGAACCCGGAATATATATATATATATATAAAATGATGGGATACAATTTTGGATTAGGGTTAGTGGTATAGTGTCAACAAGTTGCATAGAAAACACAATAAATTAAAGCGCTTCTTCAACTGTTTGGGTTTGTCTTCCCCAGCTTTCTCCAGAAGTCCACCACGGCCTCTCCTTTTTCCGTAAAACACAGAGTAACTAAATGTTATCTTTATTTATATTTTAATATATTGTATATATGTATATATGTACCATTGGTTCGCATACCCATAAAAAGAAAACAACCCTTGATATAATCGAACATGATGATAATTATAATATGTGTATATATACATACAGCTATATACCTAGCTAGGTACCGAAATGAGAATTTATAAGCGTGAAATAGTTGTAGAACATTGCTTCCCTCATTATTGCCCACCACAGTTTTGAGGATCTAAAAATATAGGATCACTGGGTATTTTTTTAGATTAAATAGGATCACTGGTTAGTACGGTCGCGCTCGGGATAGTGCTTTTTAGGGGTGGTTTGTTCGGATTTCGGTTTGGGTTCGGTTCGTATATATTCAGAGTCACTTATTTCGATTTTAGAAAAATTATAACCGTTCGATTTTTATATTGAATTCAGTTCTATATCGTTCAGATTCGGTTTGGTTATGACAAAAATACATATTTTCTTAAAAAAAACACGATTTTGCAATTATTTTTTATTCGGTTCAGTTTAGATTCGTATTCGGATTTTTTCGATTTAAAAAAACATGTTTGATTTTTCGTCCAATTCGATGTGATTACGTTTATGTCTTATTCGGTTTAGATCGGTTTGTTTATTCTATTATTAACCAAACAAACCCACTCCTAGTGATTTTGATTGTGGTTTTTAGGGGTGGTTTATTATAGCATAATGGCATTTTATATAAGTTGGTGGTCCTTTCTATTGGTTTTTAATTATAGATCAAATTAATAAAATAATGATAACATACTCAGTCTGATTCTTTTAATCAGTGTAGTAGAATTTTAAACCAAATATATCAACTATATAAACATATTATGAGAGATAGTCGGATCTGGACTTTGATATCTTTGTTATGAAAAGAAATATATAATTGAATATTTAAATTAATTTTTGGTTACAAAAAAATATTTTTTTCTCTATAACATTTTTTGTCACTAGACACATACATGATGATGACGACCCATAAGATTTTCAAGGGCAATTAAATACATTAAGTTTGTTAGATAAAGAACCATACGTTAAAATTACTTTCAGCTAAGGGTGGCCCTTTCGGATTTCAGTTTGAATTCGGTTCGGTTACATTTGATTATAGAAAAACTACAACCATTCGGTTTTTATATAAATTTTGGTTCAGTTCGGTTCGGTTATTTTTCGATTTGGTTCGGTTCGGTTCGATTATTTTTTGGTTCAGATTTTGTAAAAAGTTAATTTTTCAAAGAAATTGTCGGGTTTTTGGTTATTTTTTTATTCGGTTCGGTTTGATTTGATTTTAATTTTTTCGGGTTTAAGAAAATCATAACCATTCGGTTTTGATGTCGGGTTCGATTCGGATACGGTTATGTCTTATTCGGTTCGGTTCAACTCGGTTATTCGATTAATAACCGAAATGACCACCCCTACTTTCAGCTCAATATATCTACGCATATATACATATATATAAATATATATCCTCAATAGATGTGTATAAGAATTTGTATAGACCTCAAAAAATAAACACTGGTATACATCAATATCTAAAAAATCATACAATCCACGCCTAGATCAAATAATGAAGCATGTAGTACGCTATAAAAAAGCTGTACACTGTATGCATACATTTGCGTACACATTTTATATAATATATATATATATATATATATATATATATATTTAAGGGCCCCATATTTTTTTTTTGGTTAATTACAAGCCCATAATTAGCCAACCTCTTGTGTCTGTAGGCCCAAACAGGTCCCAACCTATTAACTGTTGCTATCCACCAACATTTCCTCGCTCTCTTTTATGAATAAAATTCAGGACAAATCTCTCCTCTCAAATTATCGAAATTATTATATATAATATCTAGAGTGGTAGAACAAGAAATCCAACAAATAAAGTTATATATATATATATATATATATATATCATTGGACTGCAATTTACCGTAACTTGTTAACAAGGAAAACATGTGAGGACCTGGAAGGAAAATATGAAACTGTGAGGGCTTTGTTCACTTACGTACCTTTGGCTTCTCCTCGAAACTCGGCGCCTGAATCTCCGGCGACTGTAACGCGGCCGCCGGGAAGAATCTCGGCGACACGTCATGCGCCGCCGCCGTCGGGTTCCAGAACGTTGTGTTGTTAGAGAAACGCAAAGGACTCAGACCGAAGTTTCCGTACTGTGAATAGCTCAAAGACGACGACTGGTTTCGATCAGGTTGGTCAGACCCCAAGAACGTTCCTTGAAACACATTCGATGACGAATTAGGGTTTGAGTACAGAGTGGTGGAGGAATTGTCCATCGCGAAACTTTGACACGTCACGGTGCTATCGCTCGAGCTCGCGTGAGGGCTAAACTGCGTATGATCCAAGAAGAACCCGCGATTGCTCAACTGCGTTTTGAATTCCACGTTCGCTGAAGAATCTCGCCATAACGATGCTTGTGACGAACCTGATTCTTGTTGGTAGGACGAAGATGCGTTCATGCTGACGTCTGTGCTTGCGTTTGCGTTTGAGTTTACCATCACTCGGAAGCTTGTCTCCGCTTTATTGTCGCTTCGTCTGTCTCCCACAAAACACAAAAACAGAAGAGAGAAAAAAAAAGAAACATTCTTAGGACAAAATCATTAGTTTCCCTCGGGAAAGAATCGATCTTTTCCACAAAAATCGAAAGAAAAATATGTTTTCTTCAAAAGGGTATTTACAAAATTACAATCGGCTGCAATATCATGAAATTACTCACAGAAGGGATTGGTTCCATTGATCAAAGGGTTGGGAAGAAAGGCCTAAACCTATCATCTGAACATGTTGATGATGATCAGATGACGGATCATGATGAAGTTTATGATCAAGGAAAACAACCGAACCGCCAGACTCGATAGAGCTCGATCTCTCTTTATTAATATTCTCGGGCGTTGTCTCCGGGGCCCAACCAAAGCCCCCTAACGTTCCGCAGCCAATCCCCGGAGACAAACACGTCGAAGATGAAGACGAGGTCGAAGCCTTCCACCAGTTTCCATTACCCGAGTTGCTGAATTCATCTCCCATGGCTTCCTTCCCCCCAAATCTTTGAAATTCAACCACAGTTTATGCGTTATGATGATGATGATGATGAAATGTTTTCTTTTTTTCTGTTTTTGTTTTCTTTCCTTCTTCTCTCGAGAGTCACAAACACATGAACGGATGGGAAAGTGTTTGTTGGATGAAAGCGGATACTTATATCATGATAAGCTCAAGAGTGTTAAAGAGCACTAACTCTTCTTGTAGGGTTTATACGGCTAGAGAAGATTAATGAATTAATGTCTCTGTTGACATTTTTCAGGTGGCTGATGATGACTCTCTTGCCAAGTCCCCTTTTTTTTATTTCCTTGTTGATTCTCTATTTTCAATATTTAACTTATTTATTTATTTTTTTGTCGTTTTTTTATTTTTTTTACGCGTTGAAAAGATCATTCGAGACTTATATATTTTAAAAAGAACAAAATTCCATACAATTACACGAAATTTGAAAAAACAATTATGGTAATATATGAACTATAAAAATTCAAAGATTATATACAAACCTTTTCCCGGAAACCAGATTAAAAATACATCTACACATACATCATTATAAGTACATATATATACATACAAATATATACACTTGCCTACATACACATAAAGATATATACATGCTAGCTTATATATGCACACATATACTTGTACGCACATGATATACACATATATTTACACACACATACCGCATGCAAACACTTATACATGTTTATACACACATATATGTGTATGAACATGCATGTGTGTGTATATGTATATGTGTGTATATATGTGTATATTATATATATGAGTGTATATGTGTTTATAAACATGCATATTTTTTGTGTATGCATGTAAGTGTATATATATAATGTATAATCATGTATATGTGTGTATATGTATTTTAATATTTTAAAATTTTTGTAAAAAATATATGACGTGTCAATGTTTTCATACGTGACATTAATTTGATTGGATTTTCTGATTGCGATGCAGGCGTCTTGTTACCCGTTTCTGTCAATAAAACGACGTCAACGAATGTACTTATAGATGAATATTTTGAAAATTCGTGGTTTAATATGAGGTTTTAAAAAAATTCGTATGTAATTATTTGACTTTTATAATTTATATATTATTATGAGATTTTCAAAGGAGTTCGTGTATTTATTTTGGATATAAAAAAATGTATCTGACTAATTTTTTTATTAACAATTGTATTCACTACTTTTTTTGTTGGCGAATAACTAGAAAGTTTTTATTTTCACAATTTTCAACAAAACCAATTGAACCGGAATAAACCGGTCAATTTACAACCATAAATTAAATGAGTTTCATTTGGTCAATCCAAATCAGTAATTTTCTATTGTGAAGTTATTCGACGAAATGAACAGTGTGTAATAAAAATAACTTGTTGACATACATGCTTACGTACATATATATGGACGTCCGTATACAGATTATAAAATTTTAAATTTACCGAAAGCATTCACCGATGCACAACACGTCAAAACGGTCGAGAGATGACGTCGTCCTGGAGTCTATATGAAATCGAGCTATTTCCGTTTCTTCAATCATATCTTTTTCTTTTATATTGCAATAATATTTTTTTCCTAATATATATGATTATCCTTCTATAAGAAAAATTATTAAAATCCGCTTTTATTTACTGGTGCAATCTGGCCAGTGGACTCTCTGCACTCAACCCAAACGTTCTAAATATATGTATATATATATATATTCTCAGGCAGCCATTTATAAGTACGTAGCAGTAAAATCTCGCTATTATATATATAAGGATCATTGTACTTAAAAGATTGAGAGAATATTAGTAACGATGATTTGAACTTCTAATAAAAAAAAAAATACAAGCAAAAGGTCATTGATGCATTTATAATAAATTTTAAAAGTTTTTTTTATAAGATAAGTGTAACATTTTTAAAGAAAAAATATCTTAAAATAATGAGGAACCATTAACATATATGAAATCGAAAGAGTTAAAAAAATGTAGAAAATTATGTAGCCGATTAATAATATAGAACAAAAGTTTTAGTTTATGTCCAAATATACGATATAACTTATATAGAAAATGAGATGACCATCAAAAAAGGGGGTCTAAACAATAGTACTCTTTAATTTATGTAAAAATGTGCAATATATCTTGTAAACGTATTAATTTCTAATGATTCGATCCGTTAAATTTTAAATCGAAATATAAAAAATCTGTAATATGCTACAATAATGTTGGATACTAATAACAACAATAAAGCACTAATTATTTGCAGTGAGATTAGGATTTGAGATTTTGATGATAAGTTTAAGATCTTAGATTTCATCCTCCGTTTAAACGCATGATTGGCATTAATTACATAGAAAATCATTGTTATAACATACAACCCTAATGTGGATCTTATTACAATCGTTCATGAGCTCTCCATATCTTATTTTGATTCTAAATGATGTGTCATTTGTCAAATTTAGTGGAAGATTTTCTTGTAGTTTTTTTTTAAAAAAAAATTCTTCTTCAATCTTTTTTTTTCCATTGGTAGCTATTTTATCCCTTTCTATTCTCCTCTTTTTCTACCAATGAAATGATTTGTCCATTGAAAAAAACAAAATATATCGGATCAAAATAATTCCACCTTATATATTTTATTCCATCCCACAAAATTTGTATCCAAGTAACGTCATTCACAAAAATTTTTACGCACGTAAATAAATAACAAATAGAGCGAGGCTTCATCCGGTTATATTACAGATAATCGTGTTGACCTATTGATAAAATCAAACAGTAAAATTCGATTTTATTGATCTACAACAAGACATTTTCAGTAACAAAATATAAAAACTAATTGTTGTGAACCATCCCCACCTCCCAAAAAAAAATTGTCTTTGGGCATTCCAAGCTCTAAAATCATCTTCTCATAATTTTTATTTATTTATCTGTTGATCAATAATATTATAATATGATTACTATTTGCAACATAAATTAACTTTCATAGCCGCAACATGCCGTTATTATCAAGATTGCCACAAAAAAAAAAGTAAAACACCAAAATTAAATAATGTGGAAATATAAATTGACCTTTGGAAAAATGAAAAAGATAAAAAAACAAAATTCTAATGGAATTTGACTCTATGGGTAAGAAATGAGAAGCGAAGACGACTTGGACTCGGGAGCGTCACGTAGCACTTTCGAAGTTTCAACTTTGGTATGACCGTAAGAAAGTCAACGTATGGGCTCCACACGGCGTGCGCGCGTGCCTTGACACGTGGTCCCCACCTTTCGACTCCTCAGAGTCAGAGCCTGAATTGACACCCTTCCTCTTATGTGTCTTTCTTATTCTTCAATTTATTTTTGGGAAAACTCCTAAACAATTCTAAACTTGTAAAGTAAAAAAAAAAAAAATTCATAAACTTATGAGTGCCAAATAATTCCTAAACTTATAAAAAGTATCTCAATAAATACTAATCTTGTTAAAAGATATATTAATCATTCGAAAAAACTGATTATAATAATATGATTTTATATCATACGTAACAGGTGATATGACACACCAAGTATGATTTTTTTGCCACGTAGTCAGTACCGAGTTTTACAAAAGTGGTTTTTTCAGAAAATATTCTAGAATCTCTTAGACGTATTTCATCGAACACTTACTATGCACGAATATTAGTACCGGAATTTAAAAAATAAACTCTTCTGTCATTGATGGCGTTTTGTTATGATTTTGTCATCTTCTATGGATATCCCCGATAAGCTCGAGTCTGAAACTATACAGAACGTTATCTACATCAAGGAAGACGGAGCGGATGTCGATCCTGAAGAGCTTAAAAGCCTGAGCAAATGGAACGTTTCATCTTGCATAGTGTAAGCCATCGT